AGAAAGCCGCAAATCCCCCCCCAGGGGAGATGGTCACGCCGCAATCCTTTCTCCATTCTCCTATAAGGATCTTAGCCATCATGTCCAGCGTGAGTTTAAGCCACCGGGTCCAGGACTCGAACCGCGGTCGACTACATGGGAGTCCAAAGACATATCCATTATGCCAACTGCTGGTCCCAATAAAACAATTATTTTAAAACTAAACATATGATGTAAAGTAATACAGTTTACGAAAGACTGGGAATAAATCCATGGTAACCACAACATATCCTGGTATTTTCAGTTTTGATTCTATTTGACTTTTTAAGGAAAAGGCAGATGACATCAAAACAATTTTAACGAAAATCCCTAAGTACTCAGGGATTTATTAAGTAGGATTTCACTCTAGTGCCTTTTTTGCCAACACGTAGAAACGCTACAGGAGTTAGTGTCAAATGCATTATTACATCACCGGCACAGTTTCTACTGATACCTAAATATTTGCTTTGTAATACATAAGATGTTAATGATTTAGACACTTCCTACTTTAGAGCTTACCTACCAGCACTTTAGTGAGCCTGCAGATATGATTTGAACTTTCAGGAATAGTTCATTCTTGGAGTAAACTAACATTGGCTTTTTTCCCTCTGGAATTCTATCAGAATGCTTCTGTCACTTTAGAAGGCTTCCTATTCTAGTTCGACATGCCAAGAAACCCAGGTACAAATAAATGGTGCTCATTTAATCTCACTTTATCACGTGTGTCTATCTTCAAATATCTAGACCTTGTACAGGATAGGCACACATCTATGCCTAAGGGTCTCCGACTAAGGGAATTCACAGATTACACTTAAAACACACACACACTATTGCCTCTAATTTTATTAAGAGTTCTTAGTAAACTAGTGAGTAAGAGAAGTGAATCTACATATTCAGTCTCTGGTTCCCAAAGCCATTCCCGTGACCCTCACCCTTCTAAACCATCTTTAGGTAAGGAACGCGAGTGCCAAGGCGACCGGCTTCCGAAAACTGGCCGATGCTCGCTAACGCCTATGCTGGGTGTGTACATACGTGCACACATGTGGTCAAGCAAAAATTGGGGTGGGGGGACAAGCAAAGATTGTTTCCTCCACCCCCTCTTAACAAACAATTCGACCAAACGGTAAAACGCAAGTCCTTCGGAACCGTGTTAGAAACTGACCCAGGTCAGCTCAGGAGGGCTTCGCGACCGGGGCCTCTAGACTGTCGTGCCGGGACCCTCAGCCTTCCCTGCACCGCCGGGCCCAGGGAGCGCGCAGGA